TCGTTCCCTTCCTTCCCAGGCTCGTTCCTCTTGTGGAAGAAAAATTTGCCGGGACGACCCTGGGAACGAGGATGGCAACATAAGAGACAACTGAACATGCGTGAACAGTTTTAAATAGAGGGCACTCGGAGACTGCGTGGGAAACATTGGAGCGAACCACAACTTGTAGGGGGCAATTAGGTGAATTTATGGTTAAACTTTCCATTATAAGCTTCGTAAAATAAACAAAAGAGAGAACGAAACATTTCAACATAAATTATATATTTATTTTGTTCAACAAATGTCCTCCATATAAAACTTGATCGTACATATCTGCAAGAGAAAGAGATTAATCATCTTCACCTTTAATCATCTGAAGTTCACTATAGGCATCTAAATTATCTATAAAATTGTCCCATAAAAGAACGTGTACAGATTGTACTAGAACTGAGATACTCTTTAAAGACTCGACTTGGTTGCTTACCTAAACTAAAGTTCAGTAAGATTTCAATGACTCTCCAAACTTTTAATAATAGCTTCATAACATTCAGCTGCAATAAGAGCCTCAGCTTTATCTTCTTCACTTGTAGCTGTTGCTGCAGCATTTTGAGCTGAATCTAATCCTTGTCTAGCTTCCTAAATATATGTGCAGAAATATACAACGGTTTAACATAAGCTTACGTTATATAAATTTGCTTTATCAAAACAAGGAAGAGTTTGATCATTTTAAAAAATTCTTTGAAGACATGACGTCTATTCGTCTCTCAACACACCATATAGATGCTTTAAAAACAATTTAATATATTATGTAAATGTATAAAACCTAAAATAAACCAAAATTTTAAAAAGGTTAGAAATATATTTCGCTGCATGTGTTACAGCCTCATCAGTCTAACGCCATATTGAATTAAAAAAATTTCTTAGTTAAGTTTTATATATTTATATGTTTTTAATAAACACAGTATAGCATGTCTGTCATGCAATTGGAAATATTGGAATACAAATAATACAGTAATATTATGAAGTGATAGAACATAACAAGAACCGTAACCTCCGAATATAACTAGCTAGCTCATGGGCGTATGTTCGTTCTTAAAGGGATACGGCAATATATTTTTTATTATTTCATTTTAAAGAACTTTTAAAATTATATGTTAATCTCCTTTGCCGATTTTGCGTAACTTTATTATTTCTTGAAATATTTTGACTTAAAATAATTTGCTGTCCGCCATCTTGGATTAATTTTTATCTCATTATCGGTGATTTTAGTGACGTCATAAGCAGGGTTAGCCATATAAAACTACATCTAAATGACCAAATAACATTATGTCTTGTTTGAAAAGTCGTCAGACAGTTTTTTATTTCAAATAGTTACTGAAGTATATGATTTTGGGCTCATAATAACCAATTGCTCTATGGATAAAATTCTTGCGTGACCCTGCTTATGATGTCACATGCATATCCGCCAAAATCCAAGATGGCGGATAGCTCGCTGATTTGTGATTTTTCTGTTCAAATATCTCAAGAAATAATAAAGTTACGCAAAATCGGTAAAAGAGATTAACATATAATTTTAAAGTTCTTCCAAATGAAATAATAAAAAAATATATTGCCGTATCCCTTTAAGCATATTTTGATGGGCTTATACATGGGGTAGGGATGGGTTTACATATAGGGGGTTTATATATACGGACGACATTTGATGTTAGTAATACATGTATTCAGTATACATGTACCTGTGAACTATATCGTGAAAGAAAATAAATATAAACATGCAGTATATAACACATAATACAACAAGTTGGCTAATAAGGATCGTTTCATGAAAATTTGCCTTGCAACCCGAGGGTTGAATTGCGCAAAGATTTACAATTTAAAACTAGGAGTTACTATCGCAAGGAAAGTGCTGCCTCAACCCCAAGGGATGAGAGGCAGCAGTGGGATTTTCTGAATCAGGGATATGATCCTGCTTTGCCAGGACGAGATGCCAGGCAGGATTATTTTGATGTATTGAAATAAATTACTGTGCACGATTCAGCAAAAAACTACATAGTTAACGTTGTTGGTTCAAGTTGTTGGTTCAAAAGCTACTGTTAAAAGTAAAGTAAAGTCAGGCGGAAATTTTATTTTAAAACTATAAAAATATAAAAAGTTTAAAAACGTCTTAGCTTTCGTCGTCTACGACGTCATCAGAGACAAAGTGAGTTATTTGTGAGAACAACTATAAATAGTGCGTCCTGAATTAGAATTGCAAAGTATGTACAATTGAGAGTTGATGACTAAAGCCTGGTTCACACTGGTCGTAATTCATCGGCGATCTATTGTATTCTTTTCCGACAGACAAAGCATTTTACACCCCAATGACCACAGACAATGGAAATCTCCGATTCTTACGACCAGTGTGAACCAGGCTTAAGGGATGAGGAGGTGATTAAGCTAATGAGATAATTAAAATAATTAAAATAAGAGATCTGATAGTTCGCTGTATTCCTCCCGGGAATTGATTTGTGGTTTATGTTTACGGACGTGAATGTCTTCTTTGAGTCGTAAATTGACAGTATCGGGGGTGCTCGTAATAACTTCGGCGGTTATGTTGAAGTTGCTGTTGTGCCTCACTTGAACCAACAACATTCACATAATGCTACTGAAGGACAACTTTGTACATAGTTAACTGTAAACTGAAGGTTGTTCAAGCAGCAATAATAATCTTCTTGAACTACAACATTGGAATTCTGTTGACTTATTTCAATACATTAAAATCACCCCACTTTCCAATATTTACAGTAAACAGCCTCTAAGACACCTGTTCATGAGGTAAGAAAAGTGTAATTTGAATATCAAACACCTTGCACATAGTCAAAGATCAGCTAAATATTCTATTTCTACTTTCTTGGCATTGGGCAATTTTATATGAAAACCTTCAATGCTTATAATTCTTGCTTTTGTATGTATAATTATAATACTGTCAGTGGCAGTGTGACCAGACGTGGTAATTTCATTACTACCGTGGTAATTTTTCGTCATTTTTGGACAATTGTGGTAATTGGAAATTTGTGGTAATTACTACGGTAATTTCAGAACTACCGTGGTAATTTTTCGTCAATTTCGGCCGATTGTGGTAATTTGAAATTTCCTGACCTTAAATGTACAGATTTTGGTGAAAAACCCCTAAATTTTACAGATTTTGGTGAAAAAAAAACTGGTTTTGGCGTTGTTTTACTTATTATTTTTCCGGAAAAATTTTTTTGACCCTAATTTACGAGGAAGTTGTCCGGAAAAATTTTTGTCCGGAAAGTAAACCGCAGTAAACTCGTATGGTCTCGTAAAACTGCTTGCACAAATCAGCACAATACAAAATAAAGTTTGACCGCCCCCCTCGTTTAAAAAAACTTCCTGAAGCTTAATTATTCCTCCCGGAAATCATCTTTACAGACAGACACAGATCGAGATCTCGACAATACATAGATCGCGCGAAAGACTGGGTCGAGTGGACTCTGGAGAAACCACCGCGTGTCAAGAATAGGGTGCTGCCTCGCTGCGCTCGGCAGCAATTATTGTGTATAGTTAGAATCTATAGATAAAACTCCTATAATACAAATTATGAGTATAAATCTAAATCCGAAAAATTGAGATTATACTCAAAACGGAGCAACCAAAAGTTGACTAATTAGCAGTTCACTTTCGTTTATAAATATTAGCAGGAATAAAAGTCTTTTTATATCTTCCAGTGTTACATTTTGGCAAAGAAAAGTCTCGCTTTCTACGAAGGTTATATCGCGATACATTCGGGCTCGGAATAGTGGATGTTGGTCATTCGAAGTAATAGATTTGAAGAGTTTTGGTCACCACATAATTCAGTTGAAGTTTATTGGTAGTAGACCAGCTAGCCATTTGGTTTACTGCAACTTGAATTTGACTGGCACACCCCCTTGGCACAATTTCTGATTCCGTAGTGTCGTCAACATATTTCCATAGATCTACTCCTGGAGCTGTCAGGTCGTTAATCATCAATAACCGTCGCTGTGTAATCAGAGGCCGCGGAACGGGGGGCATTGGGGGCAGGTGCTCCCCCCCCCCCCACTTTTTGTGCTAGGAGAAAATGTGCCCTTTTTGTGGAATAAAAAGTGTCCATTTTCCCAGCAATTAAAGAGGAATTATGAATGCCTCCTTAAGCTAAGTAGTCTACAAATGCCCTGTCTTATGGTTACGCATGTGCACAAAGACAGAACTGATGAACTGGACTTAAGTTACGCTACACAAGGACAGAACTGATGAACTGGACTTAAGTTACGCTACACAAGGACAGAACTGATGAACTGGACTTAAGTTATGCTACACAAAGACAGAACTGATGAACTGGACTTAAGTTACGCTACACAAGGACAGAACTGATGAACTGGACTTAAGTTACGCTACACAAGGACAGAACTGATGAACTGGACTTAAATACGCTACACAAGGACAGAACTGATGAACTGGACTTAAGT